GGTAGGAAAGAGGGAATCGATTACAAGGAACTGTGTGTGACCTCCTCCCTGGGGGACGGACAACCAAAAAGTGAGTGAAGGGAGACATCAAACAGGGCAAGATATGACAAAATAACAATTTATAAACTATCAAGGGCTCATGAGGGAGGGGGAGCGAGGAGGGAGGGGGAAAATGAGGACCTAATGCGGGGGGGTGGGGCTTAAGTGGAGAGGAAATGTTTTGAGAATGATGAGGGCAATGAATGTACAAATGCGCTTTACACAATTGATGTATGTATGGATTGTGCTAAGTTGTATGAGCCCCTAATAAAATGATTTTTTTTTAAAAGAAGGAGCTTTATGTACAAGAGTAATTGAATATGGAGGAAACATCCCAGCCCGGTCCATATCAAGTCCATTAATCTGATATTAGCCCATATGTACGATACCAATCTATGAAGTCCTCTTCAGACTCACAGAACACATGCAATGATGCCGACTGCAAGATGATCATAGGGTGGTGGGTGGAAAGTCTTGTGGATCCAATGGTGATGGAAGCCACCGTCCCACCGCCAGCGAGCTATTTATCTCCTTAGCACCTCCAAATGAGGTCATCAAGATGCAACCTGATTGACAGGCTAGACTCCACCCCTTCACTCTTACTCCTCTCAAATTGACAACAGATTATGTAACTACCACAACAATGAAACGATATCTTCCAGAAACACAGCTGGCATTTCTGCCTTTATTAATGTGGACTTCCCTGTAGAGTCTGGGTTTTTTTGTTAAGGGGAAAGTCGAACAGAGGGTTGTGGGGAGGGGCTGTCCAGTCGATTGCAATGCCCAGCAGGCCCCTGTGTCAAACCTGAACTGCCCCACAGGGATTTCTAGTCCTTCGTCTTTATGGAAGTAGCCCCAGTGGTGCAGTGGTTAAGGCACTAGGCTGCTAACCAGAAGGTCAGCAATTTGAACCTACCAGTAATTCGGAGGGAGAAAGATGTGGCAGTCTGCTTCTGTGAAGACGATAAACCTTCACTTTGGTCGCCATTATTATTTTCATTTCCCCCCCATAAAATTAGCATGATGATTGCACCCTCCCCCCGTGTCTGAATTTTTGGTAGAAGCATCGCTTGTTTAAAATCCATCCATCTGTAAAGCTAGATTTTGTTAAAAACATGGATGTTTGCAACCATTGCTTTCTGAGAGATTGGTGTATCCTCCCTCTTCTATGCTGTGTTCATCGACTGTTACATCAAACGTTTCTGGTTATCAAAGTGATAACAGTTTTAACGGCCTGTATGTACCAGAAATCTGTGTACTAATTAAAAAAAAACAAACAGCAAGAAGAAGAAGAAGAAAACAACCCTGAAGACCATGGAGTTTGCAAACCAAATGACCACTAATCATCTTCTTGATAAAGATCAATCCATCAGCCATTTACATTTAATGAAGAAGAAAAAAAAGATGACAGGCTTGTTCTCTGCCCAGAGGGTTGCTATAAGCCCGGATGTTGGGGG